AGAATTCCCCAGCCAGCGAATGCTGGCTGGGGAATTCTGGGAGTTGAAGTCCGGAAATCTTCAAGTTGCCAAGGTTGGGAAACACTGGGCTAGAGGACCTCCAAGATCCCTTCCAGCTCTATTCTAATTGAAGATATGACTTTAGCATCTTGGCTAGTGAAGGGCTCTAACTGCCGGAGGTAGGAAGCTGGTGTGGGGGGCAGATTCCTTCTGGAACGGGATCAACCAGGTTTGGGAGACCCACCCACCCTTCCCAGCCCCCTCCTGGGGAGCATGTTACAGACATGCTCCCCAGCTGGAATAACAAGAGGAAAAAGACGCTTGGCGCTGACTCGCACATGGGCTCAGAGGCCTTTATGAAGTGTGGAAATGAGTTGTTCGCACAAGGAGGGAGTGAGGAAGCTTGGCTTAATCTCCCGACGTGCCTCCCGATCCAAACTGGTCTTTCCCGGATGTCTTTCTCCTAAGCCTGTGTTTCTCAACTGTAGCAACTCTTGAGACGTGTGGACTTCAACTCCCAGAATTCCTCAGGTGAAGACTGGATGTTCTGATCCGGCCTTGGCCGAAGCAAGAAACATTCCCCGCAAAGAAAACCCCCTCTTTATTTACACATTGGGAATTAACTGCATTGACCAACAGAAAGTCCAGGCAAGAGTCCTGCAGAGAAATAGACAAACCTCAGTTCTGGCAAGGCAGTCTTTGTTGCACGAACCACAATGAGCAAAATCTTCAGAAATACGAACTGTTGTCTCCTACAACCACCACTCCCCTTTTCTCCTATTTATTCCCCAGCTTGCGAGGGGCCAGTCAGTATCCATATTTGCTTTGCTTCCCAAGCCGATTCATTGCTGTCTGTTGTTCACCTCTGCTATCTGCTCTGCACATACGCGCATCTGGAACAAGTCCCAGTTTTCGTCCTCACTCATCTCTGACTCCAAAGTCAGCTGCCTCTCCGGTGGGTGGGAATTGTCAGATGGCCCTTGCTCTATAGTAGTAGTAGTAGTAGTAGCAGTTAGACTTCAGCCCTCTCTAAGCGGTTTACAGAGTCAGCATATCGCCCCCACAGTCTGGGTCCTCATTTCACCCACCTCGGAAGGATGGAAGGCTGAGTCAACCCTGAGCCGGTGAGATTTGAACCGCTGAACTGCAGATAACAGTCAGCTGAAGTGGCCTGCAGTACTGCACCCTAACCACTGCGCCACCTTGGCTCTATCTCTGCGTCCGATGCAGAACATCCATCAGAGCCTTCCCCAGGCCCCAGCACTGGCCTAAGTTGTTCCCCAACCTCCTCCTCGTCCAAGTCTGTTGCCAGCTCTACTGGCGGGCCACAACACTGGATTTCAAGAGCATTTCCATTTTTTAGAAGACTTTAGAATAATTTTATTGTCGCTTTAAATGTACACCAATCGGCATACATTAAAAAGAAATTTCGTTGCATACACCACCTCCAATATACATTACACAAACATGACAAAAAAATAAATAAATAAAAATTATGCATATACCCACATATGTGACACAGAGAAACAACACAGTCTAGTTTGGATGTATGTATGTACTATACACAGCGAGAAAAATGAATCTTGCAAGTTGACCAGATGACACAGGAAACAAAGCTGTTACAGAATGGGGTAGTCCTGCTATAGATACTTCGAAACCTCCTCCCAGGGGTGAGCAACAGACCTTGAAGTGGGTGTGTGGGATCTCTAACAATGCTTTGAACTCTAAGCACATAGCGCTTATAAGCAGCATTCTGAATAAGGGGAAGCAAGCTTCCTATAATCTCCACTGTCCTCACCACTCTGTATGGACTTTCAATCTGAGGCACTGCTACCACCAAACCAAACAGGGATGCAGTTTCTTAAAACGCTCTCAGTCGTACCTGTGTAAAACATGGCCAGGACAGAAGGAGAAAGATGTGCTCTCCTCATCCGACTAAGAACTTAGCGCTAAGGAGAAATTTCCTGACAATACGAACAATCAGTGGAACGATTTGTCTCCAGAATTGGTGGATGCTCCATCACTTGGAGGTCTTTAAGAAGGGACCGGACAGACATTTGTCCGGAATGATATAGCATAGGGTCTCCTGGAGTGGTGCAGTGGCCTAGAAGTGGCGCTCTCACCTCACAATCAGGAGACTGTGAGTTTGATCCTAGGTAGTGGCATGAATCATCATCTGCTGCGAACTCTGCATTGGTGACAGGAAGGGCATCCGGCCAGTAAGCACTCAGTTCCACTCAGTTACCCAGACTTCACCCCGATAAGGGATTATGGGGTCATTAAAAGACAAATAGAGAGAGATTTGTTTATAGACAAATATATAGATGACCTCCAAGGTTCTTTCCGACTCTTGTTATTCTTCTGAAATCCTTGGACAGGGCCCCAGGTTGGGCCGAGCTGCCGTTAGACCATCTGGAGTGGTTGTGTGTTGTTTGAACCGTAATCCAAAACCACGGATTAGCCGATCCACCCGCCAGAATTGGAGAGAGAGAGATGGCCATTCATCATGACAGCCGTTCTTCGAGATCGCTGGCCTGCGCACCGGCTTTATCTGCCAAGTCTTGGAAGAAACTGAACCCCCTTTTATAGAAGCGAAGACTTCTGTAGCATCTGGTTCTCTCCTCCCCCCCCCTCCCTCCGCGTCCAAACCCAGCGTGAATTGGGAGGGGGAGGGGAAACCTGCTGGAATTGGAATGCTGGAGAAGTAAGATCTTGGCAAAAAAATGTTTCCCTCGCATCTCTTCTAAATCCTCAAAGAGCGCCTGTGGCGTTCCAACCCCCCCTTCCCCATCCCACCCCCCAAGGCATGGGAGCCAGATGTGAGTGGGGGGAGGCATCAAAAATGTGCCATGCGAGTGCCAGGAAGCAAAGACCAGGCAGAGGGGAGGCTGGAAGGAGAAGACCTCGGGGCCATTGGGTTGATTGTGGGATGGAATCCAAGAGGCAATCATTTCTGTGTGTATGTGTATCTATATCTATTTATCTATATCCATACCTATCTATCTTCTATCTCTCTATATCCATGTCTGTCTGTCTGTCTATATCTATCTACCTATCATAATCTACCTACCTGTCTACCAGTCGACATGTCTGTCTGTCTGTCTGTATCTATCTAACTTATCTATCTAACTATCTAACTATCCATCTCTATCTGTCTATCAATCTAGCCATATCCATCTTTCTATCCATCTCTTATCTTCTATCTGTATCTTCCATCCGTCTGTCTGTCTGTCTGTCTGTCTGTCTGTCTATCTATCTATCTATCTATCTATCTATCTATCTATCTATCTATCTATCATAATCTACCTACCTGTCTACCAGTCGACATGTCTGTCTGTCTGTCTGTATCTATCTAACTTATCTATCTAACTATCTAACTATCCATCTCTATCTGTCTATCAATCTAGCCATATCCATCTTTCTATCCATCTCTTATCTTCTATCTGTATCTTCCATCCGTCTGTCTGTCTGTCTATCTATCTATCTATCTATCTATCTATCTATCTATCTATCTATCTATCTATCTATCTATCTATCT